CTAAGAGATTTATAGAAAATGTTTCATTTTTATCGATCGCCTCTAACGTTTTCATAAGAAGAATTTTTCACCGGCAGACTCTCCAACAATTTTTCGGCTACTGATATTATGCCTCTTCTTGAAACGCTCTTCCTAACTTTTAGAACAAGCAAACTATTTGTTTTTGATTTTACTCCCCATTTCAATAGCATTTTCTTGCAAAACACTGCCACTTATGGGAACGTTTTATTGTCTTTTTTGAGTAAACCACTTAATAAGTACCTTGTCAACCTTCTCATGTGCAAATAATTTTAACTTCTTACATCTAACATTTGCTTTGTCATACGCTGATAAAATGTTTTCTCTGTTTTTCCATATTGTTGCAACAGTAGACTTTCCAAGTGCTAATTCCTTACAAATGTCACTCTGCTTTACTCCACTTTTTATTTTGTTAATAATCTCGTACTTTGCATTGAGTGAAAAAGCTTTGCGTTTTTGTTTTTCCATTCTAAAACGATTTACATACATAACGCGGCAAAAAAACAAGTCTCTGCTTGTTTCTCGCTCTCACTAATATAAACAACTCCGCACGATTGGTGTTGCTGAGCGTGGAAGTTCGTTATAAACGGAAAGTGAATATCCAACTATCCTAAAAAGTGATCGTTATATCCGGAAGTTCGTTATAACCAGTAAAAAATACGTTAGTCTCTATGGATGACGTTTCAATTAAAGGAAAAAGTTCGTTTTAATCGAAAGTTCACTATAACCGAGTTCATTATAAACTGACCTTACTGTATTTTGAAAACTCGTCACTCTCATCGCCCTGAAGAATTTTCCGGTTTTTTCAAAATTTCCCGTTTTAGACCAAAAACCAAGAGGCGCGTATTTTCAAGCAATCGCTTCCACAGACAAGTAACTTACTGAGTACTTGGGAGTTGGCGCAGTGCTGCGCCAATAATTTGGTGCGCCAATCCAGCGCTCGGCGCAGTAACTCAATTCCGTTGCTGGGAAAATGTTGATGACCTTTCCTTTTTTTTAGTTGCTAAAATTCCAGTCGCGGGTCTCCATATAAGCTTTAATCCGCAAACAAATGACTTATACCTTATTAGCCGATGATATATAACTCATTAACTAGAGAGCGGCAACTCAATTAACTCAAAATCGCAACTCAACACAGTGGTTACCCAGACCTAGTGGTTTGTGGCCCTCAGTTCTCCGATGTGTTTGGACCGTGCCCTAAGAAGGCATCACTTGAAAAATTGATTTTATTCTTAAGCGGTGGCCTTTTCAGATGCGCTGATTTTCCAAGAAGGAAAACTGGGCGATCTGTCGCCACTATTCTTGGCAGCCGAAATGGGACACGCGGAATGCCTGAAAGTGATGCTGGAAAAGAAAACCGTCGATTGCAACCAGCTGCGGAAGTCGGAGAATGGTAACACTGCGCTGCATATCGCTGCTGAGCACGGACATTCGGAGTGTATCAAAGTTCTGCTCCATAACGGCTCTGATCCCAACCTAAGAAATCTGAGGTCAGCCTGCCTCGGTCTGCGACTTGTATCTATCTATCTATCTATCTGCTTGTATCTTGTTTGCCCCTTAGACACCAATCGCCTTTACATTTGGCGGTCAAAGCCAACTCGTATGCCTCAGTGATTGTGTTGGTTCGACATGGAAATGCTGGGCTAAATATTGAGGACTACAACCGAAGAACCCCACTACATGAAGCGGTTGAGTTGGTTGCTGATAGCCGAAAGGAGATTGTCCAGTTTTTAATTGAGTATGTCCTAAGATGTGGGTTCCGATTGAATTGGCTGGACAAAATGAATAATGATCACATTTAGAAAGGTTTTCCGGGCTTTGAAGCCGTGGTCCATGGGAATTTCTTTCAGACGTTTCGACCACAACTGCGGTGGACATTATCAGAAAGAAGAGGTAACAGCGTGTGCGCCAAAACATTTGAAGCCCCGCCCACTGCCCACGCATGAGCTCACACAGCCGGGCTGCATAAATACGACAGGGGATCCAGTAGTTGAACCAGTCTTAGTCGGTAAGCCGTTATAATCGAAATAAAGAAGGCCTACAGCTGAATTGCGACGTCACTTAAAATAGTCCGACCAGGCATAACGCGTAGCGGAGTATATGATGGATCAACTGTACAAATATGAATATTTTAGACAAAAATAATGTCTTCAGGAATTAATATGCTTTTCACATTGTTTGATTTAAATGATTAGCCTTTCTATTCCTAAAAAATGAACGTAGTTAACTAGCCACAAGTATTTTAATTTCAGTTTTAGCTTAATATTTCATGTTTCCGAAGCGTTCTAATTGTTTTAAATAGTGAAGAATACAATTGCTAATAATCTACCAACTTTATTTAGTGAGAGTATCTAACTTTCCTTTATTCCCCTTTCCAATGGTGTCATTTCTTTTGCCACAATAATTATTTAAAAGAGTTTTGGTGACAGAATTTATGATAATCTTTACCGAGCTTATAGTACTATGCAGATCACATTGGGGAAATCCTGTTAGCAAATGATTATCTGTTATGTATTGTAAAGTTGTTGTTGACAAAAACGTCTTTTTATTGTGTACTGCTAAAATGTTATCTTCATCACATTCCAAAATTTTGTTGAAAATGAGATAACCATACAAAACGATATTTGTTAAGTACATAGTCTTTTGAAAATTTAAGCATACCCCTACTCAAATTTTTAATGAGTTTGTGACTGTCTTGAACTTCTATTTGATCTGAAAATGTTAAATTTGACTGGCATATTTGGCATTTAAATTTTTTGGACAAAATGTAACAACAATATCCTGCTTGGTAGGTAATGACAGGCATTTCATGATCCACATTTTCCAAATCACACCGAAAAAATTGTAAATTTGGGATAAACCATTCCGACTTTGAAACTGTCTCGTTATCAAAAATATCATCACTTTCATAAAATTGTTTTATTGTTAACATTCCAAAGCAACGAGATTTTAGCGCCATCAATGACTGACAAGTTTTTTCTCGCACTCATATAATTGCCGAATGGAAATATTGTTCTCACCCCCCGCTAATTGCCTGTATTTTCCAAACCTATTTTCAAGAGGATCAGTTTGAAATGTTTCCAATAACAAATAGTTCATATTAAGTGCTTTGAAACAAAATGATACGATTTCTAGCATGCCATAAATAGTGTGACGTAAAGCTGTGGATGTTTGAAGAGTTAAAGTTTTTGAAAAATGTTCTGATTTTTTCCAATTATCCAGCCATTTTGTGCAGAAATATAAGTTTCGGATCATTCGCTCCAGCCGTAGCTGTTATAGGCTCTTGATATAAATCATTAAGACGTTTCCCTTTATGGTGTTTTACATTTACGATGTTCCACCAAGTCAATATAATGTTAATAAAATCAGCTGAATCTTTTGAATAAGCTATCTTAGAGCCAAACTGTAAAAGAGC